TGCGTGATAAAAGCAAGATAAAATTTAACGGAACAATTTGTGGTTAGCCGCCAAGCTCATGATGCATAGCCAAATATGTATAGTGAACGATAGCTGAGTTTGATGATGATAGCTGCAAATTTTAAAGGTTTTCGGATATCGCAAAACAAAGGTGAAATTTTCCAGTTAATGGATTTTGTAAAGAAATATGGAGAAGCCGTAATAAATGACGAGACTATAAAAGAAGTTTTTCATTGTTATGACAATGCTTTTCAATCATCAATAAATTAATGAATGGTGAAATCTGTAGTATGGTTCTAGATCAGAAAATACCACTATTGATAGTTAAGAAAGTACAGAAAAGTTACTGAACATGAAAAAATTTCGATTGATAAGTTAGTCGGAATTCTCGACAGCAGTTACAGCACTTCAACTATGTAACTGATCAAGAGATTATGTCTGTCTACAGAAATAAAGAGAAAGTATTAGCACAAGAAACGAAGCAACTTAAACAACTGACATAGAAAGAAATGTTTAATTAGGTAAACAAATAAATATTAAGCTTTTTTTTTGTAAAGTTGATACCCTTTAGATCATAAATACTTCATTATTTCATAAATAATGATTTCATATTTTTTAATTTTATAATATCTACATGCCATCTTACTAGATTTAAACGGATGATCTAATATCCAGAAAAAATCCCAAATCCGGAATCGCCAAAGTCCCAACAACTCCGGATTTCGGTCTTTGTACTGTATTAAAATTTGGGACTTGAACAGCAAGTAGTGGATTATTTTCAAAATTATGGTATGCTACCATCAAGATAAGTGTGCATTAATAGACATAATGTGGTCAACTAAATATGACTGACAAAACAATAATAGATTGGAACAATTAGTTACTTGTGGGAAGTTTATACTCATAGCATTCTAATTAGAGCATATAGTAAAATTGCGGAGCTTAACCAAATAGTAGAATTCTTAGCCTTTCTACAAAGGGCAAAAATGAAGGAAGTCGAATACTGATTGTTTATTAGATAAAGAGAATTCCTTTTCCTTCAGAATTCCATAAGGTTCCACATTTTCTCATGGAATTTTGACTTTTTTTAAATCAAATTTTGGCATTTAGATATTTTTTTATGACTACACATTCCTGTTCCTTTATGAAGTATAATCATTAAACAAAAATGAAATCATAAGTTACAAGAGCTAATTAAAGCGGTGGTTTCAAACTGGTGGCCCGTGGGCTGGATGGAGTTCTTGAAAACACATCAAATATATATCTATTGTTAAAACCATGCTCATAGATTTAGATATAGCACACATTTGTCACACAGTAGATTGGAATATGATTTTTATTAGGAGAATGGTAAAGTACTTGCAGTATTCCTTCTTAGTGAGTTGAAAGCTAACATTGGTGTCTAGCAAAAAGTACACACATAATGCATATACCTACACTCTAACAGGCACACAAAAAAAGTTAAGATGAAAAAAGGATATTATTCATTATGGCAGTTTGAAACAGAAACAGCATTATACAGATATGGACTCAGGTTGTCATTATGTATTATCAATTTGAGTCTCACCCAGAAAGTTTTCTCTTGAGAGAAGGAAGGAAAATTTTATTAGAAAAGTTTTCCTAATTGATTTTTTTTTTCTTTTTAGTTTATGTAAAAAAAAAAAAAACATGTTAGAATTATTTAAAATAAATGCCTTTACAAATATATATATTTAGCTGTTAGTATGTTTGAATTACAAAATGTAACTAACTAATGCATGTATTTTCTTACTGATAGAAAATTAAATACTCTAAATTTGAAATATTTCTTTGCCTTGTTATTTATGAAAGTTTTGGTAAATATTTGCTAAGTGAAATTTGGAATTAAGTTACAAATTAGTTATTACTTGAAATTTAGTTTATTTGGTTTAAAAAAGGTGACCCATCAGCTGCTTTCAGGTCATGTTTCAGGCTTGAATGCAATAAGAGTTTAAGAGTACTGGCAGGTTCTTGGAATAGCACTCTTAGTTTGTAAATAGAAAGTGTAAACTAATGGTAGTGTAGATCTGCTGATCTTTTCAGAGATTGATCAGTATTGTTCTGTGATTATGTAAGTGCAGATGGAGGACAAAATAATGCAAACACCTGTGAAAAAGTATGACGTATTTCACACCTGCAGTACATCCGAGCCACCTGTAACAGAAGTCTGCCACCTAGTGAGCGTGAAGAGGAAGGTATCAGTCTCTCAACATCAGTCACCTGCGTTGCATGCTTCGATCGAACTGTCTGTGAGAAGTTGAAATGTCAGGCCTGTCAGAGTTCCAAAGAGGAATGATTGTTGGAGTGCATTTAAGTGGAGCATCGGTTATGGAAACAGCTAACCTTGTGGGGTATGCAAGGAGTAGGGTATCAACTGTCATGACAGCGTACACGAAAGAGGGTAAGACGACGTCTTCAAAGCACAACAGTGGCCGAAAGTCAAAGCTAGCTGATTTAGATAGACGGGTCATGAAGTGCATAGTAGCCCAAGCACAAGCAATCGTTATCCGAGATAACATCTGAAATGAACAGTCATCTTCGGGACCCCGTTTGAACAAAAACTGTCAAAAGGGAACTTTATGCTGCAAACATTTATGCCAGAGTGGCAATTCGTAAACCCTTGGTGACAGCAACTAATCCTTTCAAGCGACGCTAATGGTGCATAGATCACAAAGGCTGGTCTCCACAGCAGTTGCACAGATAATGTAGTCAGATGAATCGTCATTCACCCTATTTCAGATGACCAGACGCGTCTATATATGTGGAGAACGACGTCATTATGGTATGGGATGTGATATCCTGGTGCAGTCTTAAGCTACTTGTTATTCTGCATAGGAGGATCACTTCCAATCACTATCTAAGCATTCTAGGGGATAATGTCCAGACTGTATTCCCTGGAGAGTGACGACTTTACCCAAGATGACAACGCCCCTATCCACACTGCTAGGTGTATTCAAGAATGGTTCGAAGAGCATGACGATGCAATTGAACATCTCTCTTGGCCCCCTCAGTCTCCAGACTTGAATATTGAAGATTTATGGGCATTCAAAATCGTAAAAAACAACCTTATATTTAGCGTAGGTATAATGAAACACTCAATCGATTTCGAGGGCAGCTAAAGGTCCCTCCTCATCAGGAGAAAGAAATACATAGAAAGAAGAAAATAGGAATCACAGAAACACGTGGTGCTTATCAGCACTGCACGTGGTTATAACTAGATTTTTAATCAGAGTTGCACTGGCCGCCTACTTTTACTGAGCCAGGCTGTCTGATGCTGGCATAAAGAAATATCAGTAAAAGTAGGCGGCCAGTGCAACTCTGATTAAAAATCTAGTTATAACCACATGCAGTGCTGATAAGCACCACGTGTTTCTGTGATTCCTATTTTCTTCTTTCTATGTATTTCTTTCTCCTGATGAGGAGGGACCTTTAGCTGCCCTCGAAATCGATTGAGTGTTTCATTATACCTACGCTAAATATAAGGTTGTTTTTTACGATTTTGATTGTCACATTAGCGTGTTTCTCTTCTAGTCTATTTATGGGCATATTTGGAGTCCAAACTTCTTTCTCGATTTCCACCTCCATCCGGAGTTTCGGAATTAGAGACTGCTCTGCAGGAGGAATGGCTTAATATTCCTTTAAATAATTGTCCATGACCTTTGTTCATCTATCCCACGTCACATTCAATCTGCACTTCAGTCAAAGGGTGGTCCAACACCCTATTAATAAAGATTTTCCATTATTTCACAGGCGTTCCTATTATTTTGTCCTCCATCTGTATAATAACTGATCAGTATTGTTCTGTGATTATGCAAATGCAGGTGGGTATTTCTGTGATCATTTTTGGTGATGCCAAAAGACTGAAAATATCCATTATTTTTTATGGTTAAAATGCAGATTTAATCACTGTTGATAATTCTTGAAGATGAAATACATTTAACATAAGGTCTTAAATGATATTAGGAACAAGCTATCAACAACTGAGCAAAAGAAAATCTTTAAAAGCTTTTCTGAAGAACATGGATTTTATTCTAAGACAAGCTATGCACAAATTAATCTGAGATAAATTATGATGCACAAAGAAATTAGCATATTAAAAAATTTGAGGCATACTTTTCATAATTTTTTAGATGCTTCTAGTGCCATTTAACATGTCATTTGACAGTTTTCATGTTTTTTCTGTTTCTTAAATGCTAAAATAAAATAGATTTCATTAAAAAAATCTTAATACATGTATTTTATAAATATTATTTGTCTTTTACATTTTATACTCAACAATTGGGTACGTGTTCTTGACAAATGTTATGCAAACAAAATCTGTTAATGCTGGATCATTTGCTTAGATACTAAAAATACATGTGGATAAGCTTGATCATTGTTAGCTTCTTATTTTTGTGTATTTTCAGAAAATAATCATTATATGTGTTTCGTTATTATACCATAGCTGTTCAACAACAATTTTGCATATACAGAAATGCATGCATATCAGTTAACAGAGACTGCTACTAAATTTCCGAGACTAGGAATCATTTCGGCATTCATTATATTTTTTTTTATTTAATTGCCCTTTTATAAGTGTGTATGCTGCATTTCTTATTCACTTTTTCCAGTTGAGTTTTTTTTTTGCACGGGGGGGGGGGCATTTACTTAACTGCATAAATCATGTAGCATTTAAAAATTCCTTAAGTTTGTAAATGTTTAGAAATTATTAATCCAAACCAAAACAGAACTTTATTTTGTTGTAATTTGTGAGAAAAATTTAGTTCATACCCTTCAAAATTTGGCAAGTCATGTTTGTTTATGTCATGTATGATGCTTGTAGATAGCTTTTGTCTATATATTCTGTAATTTTTCATTTTCATATATACTTTGAAATATGCATGTTCATAACTTGAAAGCAGTTGAATATACTTTGAGTTGTTATTTGTTTCTTTATTGTTAAATGTCATTTTTTACATTATTTTCTTTCTTCTTTTCTTTAGCTGGTGAAAGAGATCGATGGAGTGGAAGCTAGTTGGGGTTTAGGTGCAGCCTTTAGCATGCTGTTATAGTAAATTTTATGCTTGCAGCATTTCCATTTTGTATGTAAATACTGTATAGCAACAATTTGTATCAGATCTGTTTTGTGGCATAGTTTTTTCTCATTTTTCATCCTTCAGAAGAATTCTTAGCTTTTCTGTGATATGCTTATTTATTGAAATTCATGTGCACTAAACAGAATATATTTCTTAGCTAAAAAAACGACTAAAGTAAACTTGTTTTTAAAAATGTAAAGAATATAACTTAATAAATTATTTTTTACTTATGAGTGACTGTTTTTTTTTGTGTGTGTGTTTACGTTACCTGTACAGATATCAAAATGTAAATGAAGTTTAATATATTGTAATTCATGTATGGCTGTGTTATTTAGTTGGAGATTGGGTAAGAGTGTTGATATATTTATACAAGTATTGAAAATATTTCTTTTATTTTTTTAAATATTAGTTTTAAACCTTGGAGGCTAAGTGTCACACATAATGTTAAAATGATAAACAGAAATATTTATTCATATGTAAGCTAGTTTGAAATCTAGAGTTTTACAGACAACATCTCTGCCTTGCCAGCCAGAATATGAATGAATGACCTTATTATATTCACTCTTTTTAGAGTTGTACTACAGTACAAAGTCTGTAATCCGGACGTTCATAATCCGGACCTCAAAGCTACAAACTTTATGTGCATGCGCATAACGCGTTTGCGCATGTGCATTTAATGTATAAATGTATTTAATGTGATGGTATAAGCTAGGCTAAAATTATTTAAGGCATTTCAGTTAATGTTGCAGATTGCACTGTTCCTTAATCTTCTAATTGGATTTCGCTTATTATTTTTTGCAGACTGTTAGACTGCAATTTTATAAAAATTAGGCTTGAACTTTTATGTCAAAAAGAGTTTCCAATTCTGAAGCTGCCAAAGGATCTACAAAGCAAAAGCATGTTTCGATCCATTAAACAAAAAGTGGAATTACTGCAAAAAATGGATAAAGGCCTATCCGTCTCAAAATTATGTGAGAAGCATGGCATTGGAAAGTCCACTATATATGCGACAAGAAAAAGGAACTTTTTGAATTTTTTGTGGAAGCATCTTAAACGACTTACATTGAAAGAAATGTTTAATAAAGTAAAATAAATATTAAGCTTTTTTTGTAAATTTTGATACCCATTATACATAATTGTTCTTTATTTCATAAATTACCATTTCATATTTTTAATTGTATAATTTCTGCATGCCTTCTTACCAGATTTAAATTGATCCATAATCTGGAGAAACCTCTAATCCGGAATTGCCGAAGTCTCGACGAGTCCGGATTACGGACTTTGTACTGTATTTGCAGTTTCATTTAAGCTTACTGTCCTTTTTCAAATAGATGTCCAGAGATGTTGTAGACTGAAATGTAATTGTCTATTACAACATAACCTTATGGTGATTTCCATGACTTTTTTTTTGACATTTTCAGGCCATGTTTTCACCATGATTTGTGGATGATTATATCCCATTCTGTTATACAGTGTGAATGTCTTTAATATACACTAGTTAGAGTTTAATTAAAGTTACAAACATAAGTGATATCTTGAAAAATGTTTGGTTTATTATTATAATGAAATTTTGTATACAGATGCCCATTACTGTGAGGCAACTAATTGTAAGATAACAAAGTAATCAGGATAAATGATTTGTGATATGGAAATGAATATAAAAATGCTCAGAATTATCTAACTAATAAGTAAGGTGGTGATCTCTTTACAGCTTAATGTGCCTCGCAATTTGCCTTAGAGTAAATCAGATGTTTTATCATAGCCTGTAGCACTATGTACCTTTCTTCTAAAAGTGAGGATTTTAATATTTTGAGGGTTCTAGGAGAGTGTGACATCATGTAAATGCTCTTCATAGGGCAGGGGCTCTCAACCAGAGGGGAATTTTTTCTTGAATTTCATAGTTTCAGGGGGATGCGGTTTGCCTTTTATTTACCTGTTATGTATTTAGTTTTAGTTTATGAATATAAAAAACTTATTTTGTTCCATATTTAGATATTTATCAACATTTTCTTGTTTAATTTATGAAATGCATTAAAAAATAACTAAATTTAAACAAATATATTTTTTGAGTTTTGGAAAAGGGAGGGATGATTGTCTTGCAGTGGAAAAGGGGTACATGGGGCAAAAAAGATTGAGATCCACTGTCCTAGAGGATTGCAAACTTGTTCTATTGAATTTGTCTGTCGACTTTGTTTTGCCATATCATATATTGAATACTTTCTTCTTGCAGAAAACCATTGACCATTTAAACTCTGCTTGGCTTTGCATTATCATCCATAAAAATAAAATTTTTTCCAGCAGCTTCTTGTAAAAGCCTCACATTATATTTCAAAAGCCTGCGCTTTTACCACTGAAAGAGAACAAATCCTGTGTTGTAAATATGCAATAATGTTCCTCTTTCTGGTGTGATGTGTCTTTTCGCAAGGATTTCACTTCTATCCAAATGATTGATTTTTCTTATGTCTGAAAATGATAGCAATCCTAAGATTAAACCTCATCGAGAATCACTGTGGGTATTGAATCTTGACTCATCTAGGAAGAGAACTTCAACTCTATAGATGGTTTTCCATTACAGTTCAATGTCTGAATAATTCTAGGAACTCACTTTTAACTAAAATCAGTCAGTCTTCTGATTTTGTTGACATGAAATACGATTCTATGGACAAATTTCACATATTCGCAAATTAGGCACTTTCACATTGTGTTTAAAAAAACTCTTCTTCATATTATATTTATTAGCTTTTAAAGTATTAACAGTAACTGTTTAAAATTATTGCAGAAAATGTGTTTGTAACTTTAGTTTTGGACACTAGTATATTTTATTGACAATATATTCTTTTCATTGGTACACTTAATTATCAGAATGTTTATATATGTGAAGTTCTGATTATTGATTCCAGTGTGATGCTGCATCGTAAAATATAGGTATAATTTTATTCTAGCATAATTTTTGTAGACATTTTATTTATTAAAGAGAAGTGCTTTAAAATGTTTCCCATTGTTGACACAGTTGATCAGATCCAAATCATTAAGCTGCATATACAAATGACATTTTAGAGATTGAAAAGAACATGTAGAGTTAAAAAGTATTCATTTTATGCCATTTATCATGGCAGAAAGGTTTTGATTTCTATGGGTACTGAGTTACTCAGCATTTAATAGTAAAAACAAATGCAGAGAAGGAATTTGAAGTGCTTATTTTAAAGTGAAAGACTAAAAGAAAAATAAACAAAAGAGATAATTTGCTATTTCTCAGTATTACAACTCAAGATTAAGGTGTTATTTTATTTATAAATGTATGTGTCTATATTTACATTTTAAATATGACAATGTTTTTTTCGTATCATTTATGGATTTTATGTAAATAGCAAGCATTTTATATGTTTTTCGTGAATATTTTTATTCTTTAAACTGATGCTGATAGTTTTCAAGAGATTAAAAAAATTAATTTATAATAGTTTTTATAAGTGAAATACGAGTAATTTCTTTTCCATAAGAAAGAGATTTAGAACAGGATTTTCTTTTATATGTATTGAAGGATTTAAAAAAGAGTTTTTCTAAAGTAAATTTTAAGAATTTAAAATTAATTTTTGTTGTAATGTTGCTAGATGATTTTTTTTTTTGTGATTTTTGATGAGCTCTTATTAAATGTATTTCTTTGCAGAACTGAAAATTTCCATATTATGGCGAAAAGTGTCATTGTTCAAAATCTCACTTTGAAGGAAAAAACTTCTGGGCAAATTTAATAATCGGCATAATCTTTCAGAACATTTAATAATCAATAAGTGGGACATAATCTTTAAAAATTTTTCTTAACATAACTTGCTATATAAACAATTGCTCTCTCTATATATATTCAAATGTTTGTTTAAAATATTTAGGAATTCATCATTTGTGCAATTTAATTGTTATTATTTATAGTCTCTTAGCTGTTGTATTTTTAAATGCTGTAATTAATTTAAATGCTGTAAGTACATTTTTTTAATAATTAATGACTAACAATTTAATTTCTTATAAGCTTAAATTTTCAACAAATGGAATTTTCTCCCCCCCTCCCCCCATATCTAATGTTCTAGTTACTGAAGTTCTTCTGTATATACCACCGGCTTATTTAGAATAAGGAAACTTACTATAATCTTTAAAATGTGAGTAACATTCAGTTTCAGGTAGAAATCCAACTGAAAAGAATTCAAATTCAGATTTGTACATATTCATTTTAATTTACTAATTTTACAAGTTCACATCTATTTCAAATTTTTCACATCCACTTCGATTTAATATATTCAATATAATAAATATTTACAGCACTTAATATTAGATACAGAATCTGGAAAATGGATAAAATATCCCTAACAGTTTTCATATTTCAAAATACCACAAAAGAAGGCAAACGATGTGGATATTACTAAGGTTAGTTCCTCGTCAGTGTCAATTCATTAATGAATAATAAAATAAATACTTCATTTGGTTTCCTTTCATTGTTTTCTTGTAACCTTACTATCTCATTTATTAAATAACAATTATCACTAGTTAAAATCTGATGTGTACACCACATTCTGTACAGTTCCTTGTACGAAATATTAAATTATACACATTTTTTCCTGCATTTCGTTTAAACTTATTTCTTCGAATTTCATTATGGATATATTTTTCATTCAATTAATTCAGTTCTCACTTTGCGGCAAGACAAAACTATTTATATTATTACATATATCTTCATTTAAAATTTAAAGATATTAAAAAACATAAAACACCAAATACATTTAAAACAATTAAAAAAATTACAATTAAAATTACAGTTTCTATGCAAAAACAAGCAATTCGGCCAGCAGGCAAGAAGACAGATTCTTTGGTGCTCAAAACTAAAAGTTTCCTTTTGGTCCCACTTAACAAAAAGACGCTGACAGTGCAGAAAGACTTAATTCACTTTCTGGTAAGTTTCAAATGTAAACAAATGTGGCTGCTGTGGTTAAAAAAAAAATAGGCTTAGCCTTACTTAAATAACTTAATAATAATTCTACATCTATTGCATGCAGATTAACTAAAGGCATAAAAACCTTAACCGGAAGATAAGAATAACATAATTAAATCATTTTATTTTTTTTATGCAAAAAATGCACAATTTACCTAAATATAAGAATAAAAAAACTAAGCTCACTGAACCGAGTTACAGAGTGTGTATATATATATGTATATAAGAATAAATAGTAAAGTTAAAATAAATTTAAATAAT